TAAATAGTCTCAATACTTAATACTTACAAAACAAAGACATAATTCAGGGAAATAAGCTTACCTTGTGGAATATTTTTGATCTTCTGTTTCATTTTTTTGAAAAATTGATACTCTGCAACATCTAACACTTGCACAATATTTTATGTTTTAATAAGTTCGAATGTATTTTAAATGTACACTGAAAAAAAATATAGTCAATTTTAATAAATACTTAGTTGAATACATGCCAACTAAATATTTATTAAATATGAAGATATATTTGCATAAATGCCATAAGACTACCTAGATATTATGTCGTAATTTTTGAAATTATCAAATAATATAGTACCTCTTCAATAATTTATCTTATCAACGTGAATTCATAAGATTTAATCAGCGTTCAACGTAAGACTGATTTTGTACGCGAATCGCCGTACTTATATATTTGCGTCCCCATCGTTGTACAGTTAGGAATCCCAATTAAAGTTGCTGCCAGCTGCTCAAACGAGAGTTACATTTTAAAAAAGCCATAGTTACAGCCGGATTGAATAACTGGTAACACTAAATAGCTAACAATAAACCTACAAATTTTATGACATTTAAGTTTATTGGTACTGTCGGTACCAATCGGTTTACTTATTTAAACATTAAGCATGATCCAATTTATTTCTTTAGCTGTATTTCCGCATATAAGTTCCAAAAAAATAAAAATGTCCCAATTAAATTTACAAGTTATTTTGATTAAATTACGTTAATTAAGAATGATATTAACATTTAATTAAGATAAAAGCTAATATAAAGTTCTTTTTTTGAGTTTATATTTTGAAAGATTGATATACATGAATTCCTAGTAGCAATTTATCCTTGATGTTACCATTATAACAGCGTTAGATTAAAGTATGAATATAGCTCATCAATTTAAGCATCCCTAGACACGCATATTGCTGAGGGTTACGTGGCTGCGAGAAATAACACGTGACCCCACCGAGAAGATTCGACCAGAATTCTCTCTCTTTCTCTCACTCGATTCGCCTATAGAACAGTCTGGGTGGGGTATATGAAAGATCGTCGGTGCTCTAAATAGTGGTGGTTTCCACTTGATTGCGAGTGCTTCTCTGGATCGAACTCTAGAGTTTAGAGCGTCATTAGAGGCCAAGTAATCGGGCGTAAATGCCTCAATGATGACGCCCGTTATGATACAAATACGACTGCTCTCCTGACGAATATCGTTCGATGAAACGCTCAATGTTTTTCGCACGTCTTCTCGTAATGTCTCGCATGATTCCGAATTGACATTGTGATAACGTAATCTGCTGTAAAAAAATGTATGAGAACGTAGGTGATAAATCAACAACCTTGCCGCATTTCTTGCTCAGAGATCCACAATTTTTTCCTCTTACGATCTGAAACTCGTATCAAACTGCAGATTAAGATTGACATTGAATTGGAACTTGACCAATCGAAGCAAAGTTTACTAAATTTGATATTCGATTCCTTTCTTCTGATTATTTAAATTTTAATCTGATCTGAATCCATATATTAGAAAATTGTGTTAAATTCACATTTTACATGTCTTAAACGGTCTATTTAAGTTTTTGTATTAATTTAACTAAAAATAAATATTTTAGAAAGTAACACAAATATTACGTAAAAAATATGACATTAACATAAATTATAGCAAACTGTGGAAACATATTTTTTCATTAAAATTGACATTTATGAAATATTACGTTAACATGTATTTTATTTATTCATCTTTGAATTTACGTTTTAAAACACATTATTTTTGTGTCATTAATTACTTACTCATTGTGTCAACACTAAGAAATGTTGAATATCAATGTAACACAAAATATTTAAATAACGTAATCACATTACGTTAAATTAAATTATCTTAAAAATTTAATACAAAATTTTAACAAAGATTTAAGTGGACTGTTTCTAATACAAATACAAAATGCTCTTTACTATGTAGTCTGATACACTGAGAGAAAAATGTTTGGTATTTGTAACTATAATTACATATCACTATAATTATGATTATTACTGCTATAATAATAATAACAACAGTAACTATGTATATAGTTCTACCAACAAATGTATATAGTTGGCAACCTAAAATGACTATAATTATAGTTGAAATTACCATAAAAATGATTCAAGTGACTATAATTTTATAGTTATATTTGGGAACAACCATAAAAAATATGGTTATTCCCAAATTATTATAGTCACTTGAATCATTTTTATAGTAATTTCAACTATTTTATGGTTATAACAACTATAATTATATAGTCATTTTATGTTGCCAACTATATACATTTGTTGCTAGAACTATATACATATAATAGTTACTGTTATTATTATTATAGCAGTAATAATCATAATTATAGTGTGATATGTAATTATAGTTACAAATACCAAACATTTTTCTCTCAGTGTACGAATTCAAGAATTGAAATCTGCTCGACTGTTCTAGCAATCGGGCGAGAAGATACAGTAATATCCCGACCTGCGTGCAGTGGAAAGAACAAGGGAACATATGAACGTAAAATGTTACTTCCGTAAACTCACACCTCGTATGTATACCCCTGTCGGTCCGTGACCTGCCTTACTGGCTCCTTTGGCGTGTAGCCTATCCTCTACGGCACGATATCGGTATGAGGAGGTACGTTCGTCGTCCTCTCTTACCCTCCAGCCTGGTTCTCTTCTCCTCTCTTTTCTGGTCTATGCTTCACACTCTCCCTTCCATCGGGTCGCACTCCTTCGTCTTCCGCAGGAGCAAGCGAGAGCAGGATTGTGATCAGGGAACCGATGGGTCGTCGGCTAGAGGGAGAGCAGTGAGAACGGTCGTCGGCTCGGTGAGGAAGGCAGAGGGGATAACAGGCCCGTTTCTTGGATTTCTCTCTCTTTGTCTGTTTCTCTCTCTCTCTCTCTCTCTCTCTCTCTCTCTCTCGGGACAGCCGGCCGCCGGGTGGGCGGCAGTTGTCCAGGCGTCGGCAGTCTGCGTTCCGAGGCGACGTGGCCTGCACGGCGGAGCGACATACCGCGTCCTCTCCAATTCTCAGTGCGCTCTTTTCTCTTTCTCTCTTCCTCTCTCTCTCTTTCTCTCTCTCCTCCTCCCTTCTTTTCTCTATCCTTCCGTCTGCTTCTCTGTATCCTCTCTCCAAGTCTCTCTCTCTTTCTCTCTTTTTCTCCCACTTGAAACGCGTGTCCCTGTCCGCTCCTCTCGTCGCCGCCGTCTCCGTCCTTGCGCCTAGCTCTATCTCTTTCCATCTATCGCGTACGCTCCTTGTTGCTCCAACACCTGGCTCGCGACGCGCCTCTCCGCTCCGCTCCGGATACACAGCGGCTTCGTCAACGCGCCGCTGTCGTCTTCGCGGTCGCCGTCATCGTCGGTCGTCGCCGGCGCGCGGTATATGCATACGCACGTTCGTATGCACTCCGTGAAAAGGAGAGAGAAGAATTCGCAGTGCCACGTTTCGATGCGCCCGGTCGTCGCCGTGTCGCGCGTGTTTCCTCCGCAGCACGAGGAGTAGTGAACTGTGCGCGGGCGCCGGACGACGCGAACCGCAAGCGAGCGGCGGTCGCTCGTTCGCATTTCCAAGCCTTGGTGTGTTGCTCGTACGCGGGTGTCAGTGACATTATTCTAGTCTAGTAGGTACAGCTAGCGGCCTAGAGCGACCACGCAGAATCCTCGCGCGCGGTGCAAACGCTAACGTTTCCCAAGCTTCGAGTGTACGTCTGAATCAGCTACGATAAAGTTCACGTTATCAGCTGCGATAAACACGATACGGAAGTCTTACGGTATTTCAAATACGTCGCTACGACAGCTCCAGCGCGAGGATTCTGGATCATGATTGACACGTGTACGAAGAGAACTGCGAGTTTTTAATGATTCAACTATTGAGATTTGTATATTTTGCTTCGGATTAAGTTCTCGTGCTGTGAATATGCGGAGGTACTCTTTTCTATACGAAAAAAAAAAACGGTTTTGCTGAAGTATCTAAAAATTTAGCTAGATACTGATTTGAAAATAATTTTGTTAAACTATGAAAAGAATTATGTTGAACGTTCAAGTTGGATTGTTAAAACTGTTTGCAGCATTGCTCATGTTGCTTGAGAGTTTCCTGTGGAAATTATTTTGAACTAGAATATTATTATTGTGTAAACAGAACTATTAATAAAATTTCCAATTTTTGAAAGTGAAGTGCCAACTTCACAGAGACTTAGCTTGATGGTCCTACAAAATTCTTTTCACATCTCTATCTACCTAAATTTTTAGATATTTCAGCAGGGTCATTGTTTTCGTATCGAGAAGTGAAATAAATAAATTTAGCGAGATATATATATTATATTTCAATTTTTATCTTTAATTTTTTTCTCATTTATAACAATATTTATAACAATTCGACTAGCCATCGAAAAATTATACATTTAATTATGAAAATATCCCAAACGACTTGGCAACACCAAGCGTCTGTTTGACTCATACGCCTCGTAATCACGGCAGTTCTGACACTCCAGCCTTCTGCTTTCTCATTCTCTCGCGATCGATAATATTCGATGTCAATGAATACACCTCTTTTTTCATATGGCGACTTTTCAACATGTTCGTCATTATTTCCCATGCGTACTCGATATACCTGTTATCAATTCGATATGTTTCATTGACATTAGATTTGTGATTTAGGTCGATTTCTATCAATGTAACTTAACTTTTCTAGGTATAATTTACTCCTTATCTTTTTCTAATTCCTAGAATTAGAAGAAGAAAATAAATTAAACCTATAGATTTAAAGTTTATCTCTACATTGATAGAAATGCGTGGTATTAGACTTTTAAATTATTGATTTACACGTCGTACATATGTCGTGATGCTTACACAGATTTTATCGCATGTAGAAAGTTAACTATTATGAACAGGATGTATTATGTGTTCTTTAATCTATTCTCTACGACATCAGATTTGATCTTTAGATAATTTAAATTTTGCTGAAATCTATGCTTCCACAGCTTGCTTATAAATTGTGCCAGTGTACATTTTTTAATATTATAATGTTAATTTTTTTTATATAATATTTGTCGTATTTTCTGACATGTTTTCTTATGTTAAATTAACATAAAAATTTAAATGGACCGTTTGCGACACGTGACTATGTTAAATTTCACACAAATTTTTCAATTGTGTATTTTCTTACTACTGAAGAATCAACAATGTAACGTCGTATCGGCTATCAGTTAAGTGTTGCGTGTTTATCTGTTATTATCGATACCGCATAAGCCGGATAAATATGAGATACCGTGCAAGGTAAAAACAGTGTAATTTGCCTAGTATGCTTAATAAGCGGCGCAAATACGCTCCCCAAGATAATATTAGAGAAATATTCAGTCGCCATCATCATCGGAAATATTTAAAATTTTGTTAAACCCAATGCGGGTTCTTTCTTCTCATCAACAGTTCAGATATTATCGCTTGAACAATTTTCCCGATGTCGTGTCGAGAGAGACAGACCGCTGTGGGATAAGAAGAAAGTCGTTTTTATCGAACGCGAACGATTATGTAATAGACGCCGAGAGCGAGGAACAGCGCAAGTCGACAAGTCGCACGACAAAACTGGTCGAGGCGGAGACGTGCACAGGAGCATATAACGTTTACTCACACGCCGGCTCTCGAGTCGTGCGCGACTTCTTAATTTGGTTGGATCGCGATACTTTTACTTGAATTGGCACTGCCTAGTATACTACCCGCCGTTAATTCGCTCGGCAAATTTATTCGACAAAGATCGGAGTATATAAATAATCGTGATTCCTGCGGCTTGATTATTCTCTAAGGTATTCAGCAATAAATAATGAGTTTCAAGTCGGCAACATCAATGGAAGATAATAAATGCCGAGAATAAATATCTTGTTTTACGCTGTTGACTGTTCTTAAATAAGACTAATGTGTGATCGATCAATGCATCTTTTTGTGTCAAACATTTATTTAACCTTTAAGTGGGTAGATGGGATGGCCATAGCACCCCCAAGACACGTTATATTATGAAATTTTTGAGATAGATTCCGATTGGAATTGTTTTGTTTTCGTTAGAAAGCACAATGGAAATTTTGGGAATAACTGAACAATTCCGATTGGATAATTCCGGATAATTCTATAATAGTCTTCTTCAAAATCTTATTCTGGGAAAGGAAAATAAAATATTGTCCAGATATTCAAAAGTCTTAAAGCCATTTTGTGACACCTCGAAAATTTATCAATGGTTCTTTTATTCAATCTACCAAACTACTTTTAAATTTATGGTGGAACTTGAAAACTTTTAGGGATGAAGAATTGTGACAAAAATTTATTTTTTTTAAATGTGCTAACTTCACAGTGGTTCTTAAAACTTTTTTACCATTTTTGTTTTATAAGAGTATAATTAATGTAAATTTAACTATAACATAATATACTATTAAAAAATAAAACTAGTGAGAAATATAAAATTAAAATTTGTTTTGTCTGAGCACCTCATTTACCAATTTTTAAAACCATCTACTTACTTAAAGGCTAAAATCAATGGCTGATTTCATTTCATTCATGTCCATTTGTGAGGCGAGGTTATCTCTAAACTCATTTGAATTAATATATACAGACTATATGAATGAACGAATGTTCATTGATTTCCTTTGGGGATACAAAGAATTACTTATTGGTTTACGCAGACTATATTTGGAAGTTGTTTTCTGTATTATTATTCCTCTTTTGTAACGGAATTACTCATCGCCAAATCTCATTCTTTCTCGTCAATGTCTCGCTTTTCCTTTCTGTTATTCCACCTGCAGCAAGTTACTTTTTTAATGCATCGCGACGCTTTATGCTGAATGCGAATTATCGTAAATGACGCGAACGATTGTGCTCGATGGGATGAAATCATTCTCGGTTGTTTCCTTAGTTGCCCCTTGGCGAGCATGAACTCATCGTCTCCCGGTAAACGACACTCTAATGGAAGGAGTAAAACAACATTGAAAACGTCTGCAACGACTAAATATCCTTACATGGTCAACCAGAGACAAATTCGCTGTGCCATCAGTAAACATTGCGAGAGGTGCGATTCGATTGTAGGCGGGTACATCTAGGCAAATACAGGTGGGGCCTGTTCAATTTCAGGCTTAAATACGTGCTAACCGGTCCCTTCCTCTCGAAACTAGATTCGACGAGCCTAAACGAGTTTCCCATTCTTGGTAGCATCGGCAGGTAGAATTCACTTTCCATGGCAATAGGAACTTTATTATCGTTCATGGCAGTGAAGACGATTCTATCGAGGGAATTTCAGGATATGCACGCTAAAACGTGTGAGTCAGCAGTATTCTTCCTCTCGGTTGGAAAAGACTACAAAAGTGATGCTGGTCCGTCCGTAAGGAATCTTGGGTTTGTCCGGCTGTACATCTTTATCGCTAATTCTCACGGTTTACCGGTCACTCTTTATTTGTACACTTGTTAGCTGGTAGTTCGTGGCAAGAATAAACGTGATTCTCTACCCATGCTGCTTGTTGATGTCGCGTCGGCGGCGATTGCAATGCATTGTGATCGAACGCGGTGCACGTTCGCGTCCGCGCAGATTACGCCTCCGCCAGCGCAACCTGCTCTCGGTATAGCTCGTGACATCCGTGCGAACACTTTCCTATCTCTCGTTATCTCGTGCTAACCCACGTACTCCGCGGCTCACACAGCCTTTTAAGGGTCGGTCGCGACCGAAGGTATCACCTTCAATTGTTCCGTACTCTCTTTTTGAGATCAATCTTTAAGCCCGTATCAGACAACGGATTGAATTTTGTTCGAAATTTAGCCAATCAAAACGAGGTCCATTAAATTTGATACTGCAGGTTTTTTTCTTCTAATTGGTTAAATTTCAATCCAATCTCAATTTCAAATTTAAAATCAGATATGACATTCAGTTCAAATTTATAATGTCAAGTTATAACTAATTTTAGTTATTTTTAATTGTCATTGCTCCTATCCGGTGTCGTTAATTTGACTAAAACAATGGAGTTAAACAATTTAACTTAAGAAAACATATTAATTTAGATTCAAATTTAGTTTATTATTTACCAAATACATACGTTAATCTGGCTGATGTTTACTAACAATAAAAGTGAATTAATTTACATTTTGACACACAAGGAAATAAAAAATAACTAAATGTTGTTTAACTTAAGGAATTGGGTTACCATTGCTACTTTTAATTACATTTATTATTGTCTACCTTGACTTTGGTAAACATGGGAAAAGCACGATATGTTCTAAAATTTGGAACATACGACATACCAATCCAATTTCAATTCTAAGCTACAGTCTGATACTGGTTTTAGACAGATCTTTAGATTAAAATAAAATTTAAATTGGTTTACAATATAATGGGGAAAAAATATGTTTTCATATACTGTGTGTGTATTTATGATAACGATGGAATTTTTTATTCACGCTTCGTCATGTTGAGACATCGGAGTCATCGCCTCAGGAAGCGACGTGTTTATTCTGTCATCATCACGCCTACTTTGCCTACCTTTGAAATCGATATATCCTCGGTTTCTCATTACCTTAATCGTTCGTGGCCCCTCACCTACCATGTGACCACATATGTAACTCATCGTACGAGCCGACGCCCTTTCGAGGGGTA